CCGCTCTCCCACCGCACCCGGCACGCGGAGGAACCCCCCGCTCCTCCTCCCGCCGCCCGGGCCGTACCCGCTCCCGCTCGATCCGGCATCTCACCCACCCCGGGCACCGCCAAGGAGCCGCGGGCGGCTGCGCCACCGGCCGACGCCCCCCTCCTCCGGCACCGCCCGCGGGGCCGGGCCGATCAAAGGCGGCAGCGGGGCGAGGAGGGCCGCGCAGCGCAGCGACTCGCCCGCTTCTCCCCGCGGGCTGCAGGCGCTCGACAGCGCTCCGAGCAGGGGAGCAGGGGCGCGGGCGACGCGTCCGCGCGGACCCCTCCTCTCTCTCCCTCCTCCTCCTCCTCCTCCTCCCCGCGGCTGCGGAGGGGAGACGGCGCGGCTGTTCCCTGCACCGAGACCCCCACCCGCCGCGGCCGCGGCTCCCGCCGCCTCCCGCGCTCCCGCTGCAGCGGCGCCCGCTACCGAGAGGCCGCGGCGGGCGCCGAGCTCCGGCGTGGGGCGACCGTTGGCGGCGGCCCCCGCCCGGCCCGCGGGGTGACGGAGGGGAAGGGGCGGGCAGGGGGAGCCGCCGCGCCGCGCCCCCTCCTTCAAACGCCTTGGCGCCATGTTCCCGGCGGCAGGGCCGCCGTGCGCGGCAGCCGCGGCGCTCGTGACACGCGCGACGACCCGGTCCCGCGACGGAGGGGCTGCCGCTCCCGCGGCCGAGGCTGCCGGCATCCTCGCTCCCATCCCCGCGCCCGGCAGTGGTTTGGGCCAAGCAGCCTCCCACGATGACCCAAAATTCAGGCCTCAGACAAAAATGGCTTGGGCAGCAGCAGCCTGACCGTAGCACACATTTGTTATTTGTGGCTGCTTTGCGCACAGATGAAGCCCACCCCGTTGCTGCAGTAAACCCGCAGCTGCAGGAGGAGATGTGCCCGGCCTTGCGGTCCGCCTGGCGCGACAACACATGAGACATGAGACAACCACATTACTCCTGTGGCACGCAAAGCCAAGCAGCCCTGCCCTCGGTGTGACAGATGCATGTGTGACGCAGCCTACGCAGCGCCTGTTAGGAGCCACCGCGGGGCTGACACACCTTAGACACAGCCTGGGCCGCGTCAGCCCTCACCATCTTTTGTCTGAATAACGGTTGGCAGCGAATGATTGTGACACATCTAGTACACCAACCAGCACTGTGTGCGTGCTACGCTTCCACGGCGCTGTCTGAACACAGAGATGCACTCTTTTTATTCGCTGTTTCACCTTAGCTATATACACAGTGTTCACAGCAGACAGCCCTAAAATATTTGCCAGGCACTTTTGACACCAAACACCTGATGCATCAGGGATCTTTTCTCCTTGTTGCTTCCTAGGCTTACACGTATGGTTTGAATTTACAGTTCCAACAATGACAACTTACCAAACAACACATCTCAAGAATCCCCACAGACACTGGGGCATAAATTGTCATTCATGTATGTAACATGCTGCACTCTGTCCCTTACTACAAAGCACATTAAGTTTATGGGGATAAGTTGAAACACAGGCAGTTCCATCTCCATGTGAGGAAGAACTTCTTCACCGTGACAGTGACAGAGCCCTGGCACAGGCTGCCCAGGGAGGCTGTGGAGTCTTCTTCTCTGGAGATCTTCCAAACCCGCCTGGATGTCGCCCTGTGCCCCGTGCTCTGGGTGTGCCTGCTGGAGCAGGGGGTTGGACTAGATGATCTCTAGAGGTCCCTTCCAACCTGAACCATTCTGTGATTCTGTGCAAGAATCCTGGCACATCCTGTCAGAACTCTGGCAATCACCCTGTCCAACCCCACAGCTCAAAGCAGCATCAACTATAGCAGGTTACCAGGTTGCTCAGTACATTACCAGTCTGTTTTTAAGTATATCTCCAAAGGTAAACACTCCACAACCTTTCTGAGCCCAAAGGACTCAGACACTGGACTTACCCCAGCGTGACTCTCCCTTTTGCATTTGGGAGCCCATAGCTGGACACTGTTCATCAGATTTGGTCTCACCAGTTCTCACCACACACCCCAAACCTCATTGACCAACCTTTAGAACCTCTAGATAGAGCAAACTCGGTGAGTGTCCTGAGGAAACAACACATGTTGCTCTACATGCAATATTTGCTCACATGTGATACTCCCAAACACCAACTCACCACAAATACAGCAAATTCAGCCTGTTCTCCTCTGCCTTTTAAGTATGTGGCAGTTCCATCCTAACCACCTTCATTCTCCCACCTGAAAGATGCTTTACATACTCCATACCTCCCACACCTAGTTCATCTATGCATGACACATTCAGAGCCATTTCGGATGAACGGTGGCATCTCCAGTTGCAGGATAAAGATATGCGATTCATGTCTTTTATTCGGTACCTTCTGTATTAACTGGGTTGATGGGATTGCATTCCTCAGTAGCAAGCTCTAAAATCCATGACAAAATCTCCTAAAATCTGCTGCAATGTTTACTCATTTATACTATAACACATCATCCTACTATATAATATAGTACTTTTAATACAGTTCCTACTTTGGCATACTTCCTGCAAAATTACAGCTGGTAGTTAAAACACTCATCACTGTAAGCAATGTTGAGCATTTCTAAGACTCATTCCTGAAGGATGAGTGTTCATTTGCTTCCCCAAATATCCTCAAACCTTAGATGTGAATCAGGTAGCTCTTCCCCAAAATTTTACATACTGACAATGTCATGAAAAAGGGCACCTTGCAGATGATATTAGTAGCCAAAATGCCCATTTTTACACCTCATCTGACGTGCTGTTCTTCTGTCTGCTAAGATGGCTTACCAGTACTTCTGGGTTCTCATTAGTCCATGGCTGCAAGCCAGACACCACTTCTGGTTTGCAGATTCCCAACTGCCTGACTCTATAGAAAAATGTCACAATCTAGAGCAAAAGATAATTTTAGGCAAGTTCCAGCCACGAGGGTAAATTAAAAAAAAAAAAAAAAATCACACACACAAACACACAGACACCAGAAAGTGGTGGACAGTATTCTTGCTACTTCAATTGCAACACAGTTTGACACAATTACCAAATCCTAAGCCTTGGAGAAGAAATACAAGCACATCAAGTTCACACTTCCGAAAGGTGTAATTTCACACTGTGGGGTTCAAGGCTTTCCACACACAAGGAGTTTACTAACACGAAATTATTGTATCTACTCCACTAAAGATATGTGTAACCACTATACATCAGGTAGTGCACAAAATATTTCAGAAAAAGACTTCTTTTTCTAGATTACTGTGCTGCTTCAAAAATAGGATGAAGCAAAGAGGAAAGGATATCCACATAAGAATTTACATACTTGAGACCACAGTGTAACAATACCGTATTTTTTTTTCTGTCATACTTCCATAAGCAGACAAGGTCTAAGGCAAGTATGCTTTACAGAAAGAAACGAATGCCACAGTTGGGAAATCCTGAAATGTAGATTTTGGGCCATAAAAATAAGAGTCTAGTTAGGAGAAATCTGAAAGGAAGTCATTCTGTAAGAAAAGGAAAGCAACTCAGCATAGAGAAGATAAGACGTTTGATCTGTGTCTCAAACTCAGGATTTTTCAACCGGGTCTTACAATTCTCAGTAAAAATTTAATCTATTCAAACAGATACCATTTGCCTCTTTGGCTGTCTTGTGTGTAAAATGGAACCTTCACTTTATCTTATTACTCTTATTACCATTTATTGGGCTGCAGGAATTACACTATGTCGGACTTGAGCACAACCAAACTTGGAATATTGAATTGAAAAGAATGCTGAATGCTAGGGTCAATGAAAGAACATGCCACACCGGATACCTCTAGAGCAATTTCCCATCATCTTGAAATTTTAAGTCAGTTTGGGAAGAGCCCTGGAAATGTTTTTCTATTTCTTAAATGGTAAGAACAGAAGATGATATCAACTTGTTGGAAGAGTTTTTTTTTTTTGAGTTCTGTCTAAAACCTGCCAATATAACTGACTTATATGTAGATGCTGTATTTCTCTGGAAGGAGGCAAGACTTGTCTGCTACTGAAGATCTGAAGATGAGGTCTTTCCCATTACCTATTAAAAAAAAAAAAAAAAAAAGAAAAAAGAAAAAAGAAAAAAGACTGATTGTTCAAGCAGAGGGGCTGGTAGTGCCCTCAGTTTCAACTGTTGGGAAGACTACCTAGGTTTACCTTTCAGAGAAAAAAAGACTATAATACTTGATCAATGAAGAATGGATGTCTTTGAACACTAAACATTCTTGACACCTTTTTTTTTTTTTGAAATTTTCACTGTGTGCTCTGAAATGCATAACACATGTTTGGCTCCAAAGCCTTAATGTATGCAAAATTGTATTTTCACAGCTGACACTATGAAACCTCTCTTAGCATCAAGTTCACTGCAAACAGAAAACAGGTTTGTTGAAGTCTCTATTCTGCAGGATATTACTCCCCCATTAGAATGTTTCACAGCTCTCTCTGGTTGGGTATAAGGCGGTGACAATAATGTAAAGTCTTGTCTGTGAATGTTGCTAAGCCTAATTATTTATACCAATTGACTTAGGACTGAGGGCTGCCTCTGTCTGCAATAGCGCTCATTTGGTCAGCTAATTCACACAGCAATGTTTGCACTTCCCCCTTAGGTGAACAAATAATAAAAAATATGGTACGATAGATGCCCTTGTTCACCCATGAATACTTGGATTCACGTATGAAAACTGGTGCTCCCATTGAAGGAAATTAGTTCTTGATTGTTTACATTAAGAAATGGCCATATTCTTTTTCTTTCCCACCCAGAGTAAAACAAAGGCTATATAAAATGGTGCGAAAACATCTTAAATTTGATATATCCTCCATTTCTGATCAGTTCTAATTCTAATCTATTGTAAATTCTAATTTACAATAAAATACCATAAGGTAATAGAAAATGAAGAAATTACTAACACAAAAGTCTCCCAGCTAAAGGAGCCTACAAATGGCTGCAGGCTGCACTGACTCAACCCAAAAACTATTCCAGCACAGCATCACCATGCATACCTCTGATCTCAGAAAGCTGCTCCGGGCTCATATCTCCAAGACTAGACACCATACACTTCCCTTCAAGAACATAATATCGAAATTTTCCACACCCATCCATAATGCATGTAACCCA